TGTATAAAGAAAGTACATGGAAAAAAGAAGTCTAATTCCTGATATCTGCAGTGCTCCCTGTGTGTGCGATAGTACGCAGGCTTGTGCCGTGCCCCGCGGTCCCATTACGACCGTGTGCGTGCCAGCAGATCTCTCTCATCCTCTCCTCTCTCAGCTGCTATTTTTGCCCTGTTCTTATGTAAGCTGCTCCTGACGCGCTGGAGACAGAGGCAGAGTACCGAGTTGGGATGGTGAGAGCATCCCCAGTGGACACACGCATACGCTCGCCGGCTCACGCGCACACGCATGTGCCGTGCACACACCCGTGCATCAACACACGGATACAATGTGATCTTTTCCTGGCTGCGAGATGGTGACACTACACATACAAAGGCAATCTTAAATCATTGTTGCTCAGCAAAACTACTCTGACTCTTGTGTGTATGAGCACAATCGCGGCCGCGATGCAGTTTGCAGCAGCGAGAACGAATCCCGCACAGGCTATCTCATATTGATTTTTACATGTGTGAACAAACAACAGCAGAGAGTTCAGAGTTAATGCGAGAGAACAGATTTAGTTTCGGTTTTATTTTCACTGTGCTGGAGCTGCTCTCTCTAACATGATCACTTCACGGTCCTGGGTGTGCTGTCAGAGCTCTGGGAATCTGGCCCTTTTGCTGTTTATTTTTAGTTGCATCTAAATCTAACAAGTACTGTTTGCCCTCCTGTTGGACACAAATCAGTCCGGATGAGCTCACAAGTTGGATTACTCGAATTATATCACGGTCAACATAAGGCAGTATTCAGCTCAACAGCTTCACTAAATGATGTTGACGCATTTTGATTATTCAAATGTTTACTGCTTAAACTCCAGAATAATATTGACGTAACATCCGTAATCTGAAGTAGTGCACTACGTGCACGTTTGTTTTTCTTTTGTCAAATGCTGCCAATTGTTGTTTCTTTGGCAAAAATAGGATCTTACATTCATCTGACAAAACAACTTCAGTCAACACAGAAATTTGAAGATATATGTCTTCATTTAGATAAACTGTATAATGCCAATTTTTTTTCTTATTGAGGGGAGTCCTGTTCCTGTCACTGGCTCTTGGGTCCCCTGTTTTTTCTTTTTCAAAATTTGTCTCCATCCATTTCTTTTTTCTTAAAGTTCATCCATATACAGGAAAGATGAAACACACAAGTCACAGGAGACACTGAGCGTTTCACACATTTGGTCCTACAAACACAGGAGATTTTTTTTTTTTCACTTGTAAAAAGAACCTTAAAAAAATGCATTATTTCAATTCAACCAGACGGACATGTGGAGCTCAACCCCCAAACTGCGTACACGTGCCACAATCTCCATAAATTAAGGCCGTCAGCATGTGTGAGGGAGTATTAACTGACACCTGGTAATGAGCACAGCATCATCAGCCAACTGCATGAGAGAAATGGGGTCGAGATAGTGTGGGGGTGGCTGAGGCCACAGGTCAGAGGTCAAGGTCTCCTCTGAGGGGGGTTGCCTTAGATGACAGCAGCACCTCTAACTTTGAGGAATGGAGTGACACAGGGGAATATGGGGGTACCCCCAGAGGGAATTGGCGTGTGTCGCTGCCAGCTGGGGTTAAGATATTATATAAAGGAATATTCATGCTCATTTCAGCTGTCACAACGTAACTGCCACCAGATGGAGGACAGCTTGATTGATGTGCATTTTGTCATCGGACCCAAGAAGAGCTAAATCTGTGATACTGTGATAAGAAATTTTCCTGATCTTTGTGCAAAGTTGGACACCACATAAAGCGCAGAAACACCAACAACTCAGTTACGTTAGGTTGCGTAGTTTTCATTCAGATAAAAAAAAAAAAATCAAGCTGATCGCTAGAAATGAAGAAAAATGAACGCCAACATTTTAGAACTTATTAAAAAGATTGGAATACACCACTTCTATCTCCGTGACTCTGCCGACACTTGCCCACAAGGGTGAGCGTGCGTGTACGTGCAGACGTTATCAAATGAGGACAGCTGCGTCGGCCATTTTAGTTGTGCATTTGTGCTTTTGTGTCTATCGGCATACGCCTGTAATGCCTGTTCACTGACGCAGCATCAGCAGCCCACACCATAAATACTGCATGGCCTCAAAAAATAGAGAAGATGAAGGGAAAGAGGGAAGAGGAAGTGAAGGAGTGGAAAAGAGATGAGGAGGAAACAATAAGAAGGGGGAAAGCCTTGGTTGTTAAGATGAAGGGCGGCTAAGGGGGGGTTGGGGGGGGTTGAAGGAAGAGCTGGGAGGGCGCTGAAGATGGTGGTGAGGAGAAGGGGGAAGAGAGTGACTAAGAGATAAAAGAGAAGTGAGTGGATGTGAGTGTGTTTGTGTGATGAGCGGATGGCCTCAGGGAGTGGTCGACTCAGTGTGCTGCTCTGCGGATGTACTGACGGGCTTTGGGCCGTTTGCTCACTCACTTGCCCCTCTGCTCCCTTCGCTGCGAAGAGGACAAGGGTGGGGGGTGCAGGTGAAACGGGTGATGTGGGGGCAGATTGGGAGTTGACTATAAGAGAAGAGTTGACTATACCTTGGAGCACAGGCAGAGAGAAAGTAAAAAAAGAAAGATAAATGAATGGATGCATTGAAAAGTTGGCGGAAAGGCCACGTAAGATGTTCCATCCTCCATTATGAGATCAGGGGACAGAGAAACCAGGAAGGAAAACAGGCCCTAAAGGCATCGGTAACATGTGCAGCTGGATGGATGCCCTGCTTGCATAGAATGAACATGTGTTATGTTGTGCACTTACACTTCATTTGAGGTCAAACGTGTTATCATGCATTGAAAAAAATGTGTTGAAGTCATGAAAAGCGTGATAGAACAGCAAGATGTGCTTACATGTAAAGAGTGATCATTTCAAATGATGAATCTTTCAAGACGTGATGATTAAACACAACTGCTGTGACCCTCTGACAGGCAGAAACTACTCTGTTGACAGTTGTTGACAGAGCCGGGCAATCCGCACGCACTCTGGTGAAGGTGTGCTCTGGAAGAGATGTGTCAACACAGACATAAGAACTTATGATATGGAAGCGTGTTGAATTGGGGGGTTTATGCAACATCCCAGGGAAGCCAGCAGATTGAGAATGGTGTTGCTGAATATGGAAAGAGGGCATACAGCAAAGGCTGCTGGGAGTTTCTGATTGGCTGCTAATGTTGCTATCCAGGCCTGGATTGGCTGAGCTGACGCAGCCCGACATCACGTTGTCGGGACTAAACCCTTTTGAACTGAGGCAAAGCAGGGAGGCACGGATATCAAAACACATACGCGCACACACGCACACACTTGCAGATGCACACTCATATATATGAATTACAAGGAAGTATTACATGCAACGGAATATACACCTATAACAGAGTATTAAATAAACCTGGGCGCCGTGTTGATATCTGTCAAGAGAAAACAGAATACATAATGCTCCTAGGCTCGTCTCCATGTTCCATCTCCAGTAAATCTGTGCAGTTAAAAGGGAAAAGACTGAACTTCCTTAATTTCGCCATTCTCTTTTAAGCCCAGCTCTAAGGTGGACAGAATAAATTGGAGCTTAAGCATGCGTGAAGACACAGCCAGCGGGCCCCTTTCCACCACTCCACGCTACATTTGTCAAATCAGAAGAATTTCTGCTACATGTGAACTCCGAATCTGCGAGGAGAGAAGCAGCAAGGATTCATATTAAAGTCACGTACATGGAGCAACACTCCTGGCCAAAGGAAAAGTGTATATTTGAGTTTGGAGTTATATTCAAAATATGTCGCGTGCTCCTGACTGACAAAAAAACTGCGGAGTGCATAGACAATAAGCTGCATACAATTAATAAAACATGAGACGAGAGGAGGCACTGAGTCAGGGGAAATGTATGACTTCTCTTTTGGCCTCACTGCCCCTGCCCAGTGGCATGTCAGCTCAACTTTGCCTGCGCCTTTGCCTGCAGTGAGACGCATCTCTGCCCAAAGCTGTGGTGAACAGGGGACAAATCTCTTCTGATCAAGAGGAAGTGCTTTTCAGACCAACTTCAAGTCTTATCTTCCCTTGGCTCCTTTCGCAATCAAACCTATATCTGCACAGTAAGTCGGACAGCTCATGAATGCATTTGTACAAGTAGTGATGGTAGACGAAAAACACGGTGGATATTTTGTTGTATTTAGGTCACACAGATGCAATCATGACGGATGAAAAAAGGATAACCGGGCTGGCTCGGCCAGGAGAGCAGAGTGTGGTGTGCGTGCTTGTTTTAAAGCTGAAAGTTGGGCCTATGAATCTTTGATCCATCTCTCCCCAACTTGTCATCCCCCTCCCTTCATTCAATATGAGCGAGCAAAGTGCCACTTTGCCTATCCTTTCCCCTAACACACATACATGCACACTCTCCATGTGTCCTCCTGATGCATTAATATTCTTACATCACCTCCTTCAGTGAGCACAGAAAACAAGAGAGCTACAAACTTGAAGAGATGGTGAGATGTGTTCTATGGGGGGGCTCTTATCGACATTCTGTGTGTGTGTGTGTGTGTGTGTGTGTGTGTGTGTAGCAGTTATATGGCTCACTTTGTGGAAATATGCATCACAAAATAAAGATTTAAATGAATAAGGCAACATGTTACGCCGCTGCTGCTCTGCTTTGGAAAATTCATAAGCTTGCAATGATTGACAACTACAAAAAAACTAAAGTATAATAAAATGAAACATTCACATTCACATCATTTGACATAAAAAAAACTAACTTAGTACAATCACTGCCTCAAAAAGTCAAACGCCCATATGAGAGCTGAATGATAAAAGGCTTTTTATATCAGATAAAGTATGCGCTGTGCACATGCTCAGCTATACTCTGGCAATTTGGGCTTTTACATGCAGCACACTGGTGTGTCCCTCCATGGATGGCTGGATCTCAGACACATTAACACTGTCTGGCGTTGACTTCAACCCATGAGACCTCCCCCCACGACAACGCACACACACAGGCACATGCCTGGGCATCATCCTTCTGCTCTAATAAATTTTGTGCCCCTTGGGATGGGTCTTATTTGAAGGCGACTTTGGGGTTTGTGTGGGAGTGCGTGGCTACCTTGTGTGGGATCGTGGTTCTCCCAAAAGCGTTTGAGCAGCTCCTCAAGGCTGACGTCTTCAGGGGAAAAGACAACTCTCACCACCTCAGTGTGGCCTGTCAGACCTGGAGGGAAATCACAAATTTGCATTAGTCACCATTAAGTTATATCGATCTCATGTCCTCCTACCATTCTGTCCCTTATCGCTGCAAACACTGAACGAAAAAAGAAGTTAATGCAGAGATCCAGGAATCTCCAAGTTTAGAATTGCAGCGGAGAGGAAAGGAGGGGCACCCTACTGTGTGCACGTGCCACTGAGTGCATGTGCCACAGGTAGAAGAGAGTCAGGCTGAATCCACTTTTGTTAAAACTTGCCCCGTCAGAGAGAAAAATAAACAGAGAGGAAGGTAGATAGAGAAACAGAGAGAAGGTGGAGTAAAGGCTTCAGCATACAGTGGAGGCTGCCAAAAGCTCACAGACACTGGTTCTTGTCTGGAAGTGACAGGGCACCAGACCTTAATCCATATGCCTGAAGGCATTCTCAGAAAAAAAGACCCTGAAAATGTATACCAGGTTTGAAAAAGTACTAAATATAATGGTCAATTCAGCACACATATATGCGCCAGGTTATTGAAAATGCTAAGGAGTTGCCCGATTTACCCATCTTGTGTAGGATCTAATTCCTTCCTTCATAGGGCAGTCCATGAAGTTAAGCCTCGTACTTTACTTGTTTACTTTTAGATTAATTTGAATAAGAAATAACTTCCATGTCCCCTTTATAAAAATACATTGAAACTGAAGAGTTACTCTGCTTGCAAAACAGATTGTCTCATGATAGTCTCATGCTGAATAAGCATGGGGCATAAGGCCTTAGTTAATAACAGTTATTAGCTAAGCCAAAAATGGCATACTTTGCACAGGGTTTCGGCAGTTTATAAGTATCTGAAAACAAATATTTTTTCTTTTTGAATAGAAATGCCAATATGCAAATAAATACTATTCTTTACCAGAGAACAGTGAGCCCGCATACACTTTGCTTAAAGACCTAAGTGAGTTGCGGGCAGGCAGCAAAATCAACAAAAGTGGCAGGAAGCAGAAAATTCAATTGGAGTCAAAGTCCCTGTCAAGACCTCTTGGGGAAAGAAACTGTGACTTTACACCATGACTCACAGAGCTTGTCCGGTTTGAAGGGGGTGAGAGGCTGAGAAGCAACAAGGATCAGCAGCACTAAAGCTGCTAGAGATTCAATTTTTGGCTGAAGGACCATTCAGCCTGGTGAATAACCTTTTGGTTGCTCCTGGCTACAAAAATCAACATGCCATCCCGATGCCCTTTTTTGGTTGAACTTCTCCCTGCTGCTCACAACAGGAATAAGTGATGCAGCACTGGACACCAATTAAAATGCTTGAAATTACCTTTAGCAACCCTTTTCTAACAAGCAACGGTCGCATGAGTAGGTACTGCCATCTGTAGAGCTTTTTTTTGTGTTTTTTGTGTTAAGAGGTTTTGATACTCGTGTAGGCCAGGTCCCTGTGAAGCATGGGACATGCAAATTATAATTCTTCTTTCTGACCAAAGTTTAAAATTATAAGCCACAAATTGTCTTGCTCCATATCAGTCACATATACCCAGCAAAGCTATATTATCTGCCATTGTGGGGCTGTAACGCAGAGTTTTGAGTAAGAGCTGGAATTAGTTTTTGGGTTTGTGTTTAACTTTCTGCAGAGATGAAGCACAAAATGTTTTAGTCTCAGCTCGACTGGCACCAAACATCCGGCTACACGGACTGTGCTTGTGCTGTTAATCAGGTGGGAAAATATGCTGATTGACAATACATTTTCTTCACTCTCTGCTGTTTGTATGCATGTGTCCTCTCTGGAATAATCTGACTGCACCCCAGCCTCTCCGGTTTATGTCTGTCAGACCATCCACATATCTGCCAGTCTCTCTATCCTCCCCTCGTCTCTTCTGACAGTTCCATCATCCTCCTCTTTCTGTCTGTCTATATGTCTGCCTGCCCTGCCCTGGCTGTGTTGACAGCTCCTCGGTCTCATGCTGTCGCAGTGTTCTGCTCCGTCACGGCCAGTGGAGCGATGCATGCACTCCCTCACCCGATGGCCAGGTAACTACTTTTTCTCCGAATTCTTTGTATCAAATTTCATTTGCTCTCAAAAGTTTATTTGACCCCCTCCTCTCCTCTGCTATAGCATTCATGTTGTGTTTTCATGTCATCCGTTTCCATCTCTGACTTTCTTCACAGCTGAGCATCGTGTTGCTGAGGGACTTCTAGAAACGGGGGAAAGCTACAGACAGAAATCGTGTGGCGGGTTCTGCTCAGAAAACCTGCCAGCCGATCCCAAAGCATCCTTCCGCCCTTCTCTGTGAGCCTCATGCTGTGACCGCACCTAGACTTTATGCCTGCAATGATGCGCCTTGAGAAATGGTGAACCCCCAAGCTCACAGCTCATGACTCCTTCAACACAAGACGGTGGCGCATGGCCAGACGTCTTCATTTCAATTATACATCCACTTCCCACATGAAACTGATTTGATGGTGGCGATGAGAAAATGGAAAGAAACAAGAAGCCAAACATTTTCAACATCTAAGACGGCAAACACACATCACATCCGCTCGTGTTTCAAGAATCATGTTTGTCAAATGATATTCTCTTGGAAAGAGGCACTTCTTTGGCTCTTCAGAAGCAGTAACCTCTGTTGGTAAAAACGCCGCAGTACAGCACAGTACAGAGCCCAATCCTTACAAGTAGGTCATGGGGGGGTGGGGATTGGGGGTGGTTGCGGATTGGGGGGGTGCAGCCCATCTGGAGCAACGCATTCTGAGTAGTTGACTGCAGATGAAGGGAAGAGGCGAGAGGATGAGAGAGCTGCACATTCAACAATCTTTCTCTGTATTTTTTTCTTTATCCATCACCATTTTAGTGTTGTGAACCTTGACTCACCGCGTCACATACTTGTTCACAGAAATGTTGCGTGATCTAGTAATGTAAATCAAAATGAGGGGATATGAATCCACAAAAATGGACAAAAAGAAGTACCTGAGCAGACCTCATGGTAGGAAGGGTTGGGTGTAAAACCACCGGCGTAGCCCACCTGTGTGGAGAAGACTCCTGGAAGTCGCCAAAACAGTCTTTCAGCTCCCCAGAAACAGCCCATTCCTAAACGTATGCGCACAAACACATGCACAGTCAGGGCGTTAACAGAGTAACAGACTTGTAACAGAGGATCTTATATTTAGTGATTCCTTCAATGGAAAAAACTGTGTTTGTGTCTTCTCACCAAACATGATGGTCTCCATGCCTGGTGGAAAAGGCTCCACAGTGGGATTCCCATTGACTGCATGCTTGTCTGCTCAGGGAAACAGGGAAGAAATATTCTGTCAGGTCATAACACTGCTACGAAACGGTATAAATTACAGATTGTGAGTAAAGAGATCTATTAGCAGCTTCAGGTCGGCCTTAAAGGCCCTCACTTCGTTACGGGCTGACCGAGGCCGGCGGATCAGAGCCAGAGGCCTCTGTGCAGGAAGATATTTAAAGGATTACACAGCTTTGACCGCCTTTCTGTCTCTCTGCTCTTCTCTGCTCACTACACACAATTAAACACACTAAAGGAGTGACTCCTGGATCTCTCTGTTACTCCAGAGAAAGATAAATGTGTTTGGTGTGCAGCTTCCCTCTGCAGGGCGTCAACAAACCAACTCCTGGAGACACGTCAAGGGCAGGCAACTTTATAACCTCACATGCACGTTCGTAGTTTGGCAAAGTCACCCAAATCTTTGTCATATCAAAAATACCAGATAAGTAAAACAAACTACTGAGAGATGGCACTCCATTGGCAACAGAGCTGCATGGAATTAAGAGTGCTAAAAGGAAGTGTGTGCATGTGTGTGTGTAGCCCACAGATGTGTCAGGAGGATTATGGTTTAAGAAGACTGAGGTGACTTAGCGTGCAAATCTCCACTAAGCAAGGCTGGTTTGTACTGCAACCACTAATATTAGTCCACAGATAAACAGGGCACAGGGTACACCAACAGCTTAGGCATATACCCATAACGGATGCTTGCTGTAAGTTCAATGTGTGGCTGCTTAGCGGCAGCGAAGAGATGTTATGTGTGACACTGACCTGAATACAAACAATCACTAATCTGACACAGACATAATAGTTCATTTCCTAGATAGGCCCGGGATGATCCGCGACTGTGACAAAAGGCCAAAGGCCAACAGCCGTTTATGTCGACCCTAAAAAGATTATCATAAAGCCAGTCTGTACATAAGGACTAAAAAGAAACTGTTACGCCAGGTAGGGATACCACAGATGATGTTTTTGAGGAATAAAGGAGGCAGAAAAAAAGCTCTGCAAAACTTGAGTTGATGATGTCATGTAAAGTTGCACTCTAAAAAATAAACTAATACAATTTGAGCTTATATGGCAGATATTGCAGAGGCATGAAGGACTAAAATGTCACAGAGGCCTGTCTGCCCACAGGCACACACTACCTGCCCCCCTGCCGAGCGACACTTCTGCCAGGTCATGTTCTCCAGCACAGTCAGCCGCAACCAAAGGATATCTGTGTCGGTGACTGTGCGGGCTCAAATGTTCCCGGTCCAGTTGGGGCGACTTAAAAGTGTTCGGAGGACGTTGGAAGTCTTCATCCCTCTTTGGTGAAATAATGTCTTTGTCCTTCGCTCGCTCTCACCCTCTTATCCTGTTTCTGGCCGCTGTGATAAAAAGGTACTGATGTTGCCAAACAACTGTGGCAGGGAAATAAGGGAGTGAGAGGAGACGAGTGCGAGATAAAGGAGGAGGTGGACGAGAAGTGGGTGGAGGACAGACCAGTGTGCTAAAACAACGAAAGGAGTAAAAAGGCAGTGAGACGCAACAGATGACAGTAGCAGGGAGGGAGTGGAGCACTCTTTCGACTTTAAGACTGCAATACCTTTGGGTGCTGAAGAACAAAACTAAGCATTCATCCAAAAAAAAACACAGACGAACAATGAAGAAGAGGTAAAAAAAATAAGTTGGCCAAGAAGCCAAACCCTTCCACTCATCTATTCTCCATCCTCTTTCCAGGCTTGCTCTCTCTCTCAAACCACCTTCATGTCATCCCTCACTTTCCTGAGTGCACAACCACGTGCATGGCTGTGTGTGCACACAGAAACACAATATGCCACACAGCCCCTCGCACACCAACCTCTGCAGTGGGTATTTCCCCTGCGGAGCGTCTGGCAGAGGTCCAGAAGGTGCCAGGCAAGCTCTTTTCACTGTGCCTAGTCCTGTGCCCCCCACCACCCAAAACCCCTTCTGCCAGAAACACCCCATCTCACACACACACGCGCCCTGAGAAAGACGTGTCTGAATACCCTCACTACACCAGCAAAAGAAAGAAAAGAGGGCGACAGAAAACAAGCAGGGAGGGTGCTGACTGAGCTTACAATAGAAGGAACCAGGCTGAATATGGGGGAAGGATTCATGAGAGGAATTTTTTCCAACTTGGATGAGATATGGGCGTAATTTCTATTGTGCGCCTTTGTTTTCAAGGATATTTGGAAAGCGCAGTTCACACTAGACAATGCTTCAGGACTGAAGCGAAAGACTTTGGTCAGCTTTTGTTGCTTTTAGCATAGCAGTTGTAGGCGGCTGGATCAGGACCAAAACATCAGAACGGACACCCCGCCATTCTGCTTGAATCAAAGGTTAGCACCAGTCTGGGGCACGGCGATCTCTCTGCTGTTTAGCGGACAATAACACCCAGTTTGATTTCGCTTCGACTGGTTTTGAGTCTCTGCTACCCTCCGGTTCTGACTGTGGTCCTGTGTTTCTCACCCGTAAAACTGAAGTCCAAGTGCTGCTGCCTCCTCGCACAGAGACATGGGGGAGTGCTGTCCCTGGATGCCAAAACTGGTGATAGAAGGTCGATTTCCAGGCTGCTCTGATTTTTTTCCTTCCAAAAATCCTCTCTTCCCCTTTCTCTTCCCCTTCCCTCCCTCTTGCTGTTTCTCTTTCTAGCTTCACACAGGTTGGCAGGGAGTCAGGCACGAGTCGTCGGAGGAGGCTGATGCTTTATACTGTTGCCAACTACCCTCTGTTGCAAGGGAGGATGGGTGGGGTAAGGGGAGTGGGGTAAAATAAAAAAGGGGGGTGGGGGGCAAAATTTTGGAGAAAGGTGATCCATTTTTAAGGGCAGAAAAAGGTAAGAAAAGAAAGCTCTCCGTGTTGCCTTTAAACACCTGATCCAGGTTGGTATCATGGCATATGATTCAGCCGTCTCCATCCACGGTCTGAAAGCTGGCCAGACTCTGAAGAGCACAACTTTCAAACAACTCACACATTCTGGGTATCTTAGCACTGGAAACGGCTGTCAGTGGGAGCACTACCCACTAAAGTACCACCCCTATCATCTACCTCCAGCAAGGTGGAAGGGCATCCTGTTAGGCCTGTTCAAAAATAATGCAAGCTGGTTTAACTGAATAATAAAAAGCATTAAAACTATACACTTAAAATGCAAGGAGAAAAGAAACTGAACAGCCAGTTGGAGAAAAGCCAGAGCAGATCCATCCAATTTCTACACCACAGAGCTTAAGTGCAAGAATGTACTGGCAAAACATGAGGCGTGCGGAATGATAAAGAAATATCTAATTGAAACCTAAAAAAAACATTAACAAAATACTAATGAAAAGAAATCTTATTTTCTCTCTGTCTCATGATATTTTGCTCATTCCTTTAAAAAAAAAGAAGTTAATGCTCCCCCTAAGCAGCTGCATCATTAAACGCGATGCACCACAGATCAGAGGACTCACCATAACCATAAATATGTCCTTCACAATAATGTGATGATCTTATTTCATCATGGTTCAAATCACATGTATTAAAAGCATTCCTAAACTCAATCAGGCAAAATCGAATAATTCCGGGTCCTTATGCAGTGGAAATGGAACTAAATCTGGCGTGTTTCAGTAATGTGCCTTACAGCCTATATATCCGTATATGCATTTAAACATTTTCCACATGTGTACAGTTTGGAGGAAATTAAAATTCATGTGGACTCCAGTTTTCAGTCAATATGTATTTTTGGGTGTTCGAATGCAAATTATTTTTAGAGAGCATTAGGACATAAAGTCAATATATCAAGTTGGTAATATGTTCTTCTGTTATTAATTTGTATTTAATAAAAATTTAACCACTTATCAGTACGAGTGAATTGCAGAGTTGGTGTTCAGTAAGAATCAGATATCTAACTCAATAAAGTCAACTGGTCATCCAGAACATCATCCAGAAGACTGGGACATAATGGATGTGTAATCACAAATGCGTTCTGAGGAGTAAATGACTGAATGTGTTGTGTACTTTCCCCGATGGCCACAGTCCTTTTGCACATTCTGAATGAGGCGTTAGTCATTTGCTTGACCACATGATGTTTTCCGTCATGATCAGATCAGCGAGGGCTTTTGAGATATGAAGGAACCCTTGCACAAAAACATTTGGCCAACAGGCAAACTTGGGTTACCTTCCTGCCTGTGACACCAGCTGTTATCGCTGAGGCATGGTACTCCCCACAAACAACATACCTTTCATTTATTTATCTCATGTTTGTATGCATAATTTGCATGTTTTATAAGTCGCTTAGACATTCTGTATTCCCTCTCTAAACCCGTTCAAAATCTAAAAGCAAGGACAAGAGGAGACAAACAGAGAAATAACAGCAAGAATATATGTCTTCGCCATGAACCTTCTTTAAAGAGTTACAGCAAGGCATATAACAGAGATTGATTTTGGTCAGCTGACTTCCCCCATCCTGTTTGGAAGAAATATTGGCAGTCTATCCTGCACTGACTCAAAATAATAGCTACTGTGCCCCTACCATGTAGCAATCTGCCACTGGATCATTCTCGCCAAGGTCACAGAGTACATGACGCAGAGTGTGGCGAGGGAGGGGACGCGGGACCACAGGACGTCTGAACAAGGGACGAGGAGCTTTTTTAAAAGGCCCGAGGGGCTACGGGAAACTTTCAAAAATTAGTGATCGTCACTGTACGTGGGGAGACAAGTTTTTAAAGCCCACACAAACGCGAGGCCGGGACTGCACGGGGCATATGTGGAGGCAGTCCCCGCAATCCTTAAATTACTCATGCTTACAGGCCCACACCGACAACCCCATCCCCGTCTAAACTGCCCCCACCCCCTCCCACGGTGAAAGGGGAGGAACAGATTTCTGCCATGCCGTGTCTCCGAGCTGCTCCGACAGACGGAGAAGGAACTTACGACGGGGCGGAGCCTTCATGCGCATAATGCCCAGATGGACGCTGCGGCACCGTTTCCTTCTATGCGCTCACACAAAGCTCCCACAATGCACTTTGCTGCTGCCACAGTCTGAGCAGGTGATGGTTTGGAGCACCAGGTTTATACTGGACGGCGTTTTTTCAATTGTGGCACACCAGCCCTCCTGTCCCACAACCGAAATGTGAACAAGTGAAGGAAACGATATGAGAGGGAGTCGTTCGTCCACTACGCTTCGACTCCAGACTGTTAAGCAAAAATTAACCGCACAAAGACAATGGTTCCATTCTAACTGCCTGAATGGAAAGGATGCATTAGCAGAAGCATCATATTTTGTAGAAGTGCTACTAAAAGAGCTGAGAATTTGATCAGTCTTGACTTATGTAACCCCAATTTGATCAACGACTATTGGATGCTACTATTGGAGGCCCAGCAGGCCTCTGCTGCCGCTGCAGATTTAGTAGACAACTCCCAAATCTCAAAGATTAATCACGAAAATTCACCCACTGGGGTCAAATATATTGGAACAAATGTGCTCTTGGCACATTTGGACCCAAAAGTATGCTTGATTAAGCACTCCCAGACAAAACAACACTGATATAAAAAGTCATGTGGACCAGTTTTGTTAAGAAGCAAGTCAACTCCCATCAGATTCTGTGAAAGTACAGCAGACACTGCATTAGTGCTCATCCACTAGTGCATGGCTGGACGTCCGTCCAGAATAATCCACCATATAGTGTCCTGTCTGGCATTTCTACATGAAGAGAGAGGGATGGTTTTATAGGTAATTATTTCTCCAAAGCAGGTTTTACTAATTATTTGTATACTTCTCAAACCCTGAATGATGAGGCAACAGGTTCACCTTAAAAAAAAAAAGTTTTTCGTAACCATTTCTTGCTCAAATACAAATCTGGTCATACTCATCCCAAAAACCTCAGAGAGACTGGAATACAAACAAATTGCGGCTTGGGTCTCAGGAGCTGTGGGGAGCCTTCTGAGAGGCACAACAGCTCTGGGTTAAACACAAAAAAAATGCCACTTTCAAAACATGGTTTGAAAAGCTGTGTTTTTCCATTTGTTTTTTATTTTTTTATTTTGGTGGTTTGGATTTTCAGCACAAAACTTGTGTGCTTTGTCAGTTCTAGGATGTTTAGTTTACCACACAAAAGGGTAAACTTATAAGTGACACATTTCGTTATATAAAAAAAAAAGAGGAAACCATAATTGAAATAATTGCTTTCTAATTAATGAGGCCACAATTATTTTCTGCATCATCTGTTCTGACTCAGCTTGTGCATTTCTCAGGCGTAATGGCACTAGGTACAGTCTGAATTAAAAAATAAATTATTTTAAAAACCTCATATAAAAGTTGTTTACTTCAAACTTGTTATAAAATGACAAGTCTGCTCAATATGCTGACAGGAATTTGGGAAGGGAAAGAGCAAGCAAGCTCAGGCAGAATGTGACCACATTATGCAGTGAAACTACATATAGATATAGGATGTTGCACATAGAGCACTTTAAGGTCTAAATAATAAATGTAAGTATAGGATTAACCTTAATGGAGAGAGATCATTGAAAACATAAGCAAAAAACCCACAAAGGTGGATGATGCTGTCACAGGCTGCTCACACTCAAACATATGTCCTCATGTTTTGTTTTGTTTTATTTCCAAGTATTTCCCAGTTTGTGGGAATTTGTGAACATAAATAACTTGCTCTCCTCTTCGTTCACAAAGGGCTGTTCCGTGTTCCCTTTGCTTTAGGAGAAAAGAGAACCGCCGAATTTCGTAATATTCAGAGAAAAAGAAATTGGGCTGTTTGGTAATGGCTGCCTCTTAGACACTTCCGGGTCACTGAATTCATCCCAGGACCTTCCGAAACAAGAGCTACTTCTCGACCAGACCCTCCCCCTATCGCCTCGTCATTTTACCAACTCCCCACCGTGTTATTTACCTGCCACGACCATTTTCTCCTGCCTTCCCCTCAGAGCTCTCTCTTTGCTCGGCAGCTGAGTCTTAGCTGTCATTATATCAGCGGCAGCGAGCGACACATAAGCTAGGAGCAGCCAAACGCTGTGTTTCCCTGTGTGGGGAAGCAACTGAGCCTTCCGGGAAGCAGCCTCCATTGCTGCGCGCCTCTTACGTTGAACAACGGGGACGGGATGAAGTGGGAGGGGTGGAGAGACGGTGGAAAAAGAAAAAAAAAAAAACGCCATCGATATGAATATTCATAGCGCGTGGGCAACGTCGTGCACTGCATATTAACTAGTCAAGGGGTTAATATGACTTTGGCACAAAAGCCTGCGGAGCACGGTGTGCAGGAACGAAATTAAATTTAAATAAATATCCCCTGCATTCGGCATGCAAATGAGTACTCGCCAATTATCTGCCTTCACTCGGTGGGAGGCGCTTCTGGTGGACCGGGTTAGAATATGGATGTGGAGCTGGTTAGATGCCTCTTTGCACATATAGGAGTGGAAGAGAGGGGTTAATGGTTGAGTAACATCTGGAAGAGTCAGCACTCCTTTTCTCCTAAAACCAGCCATATTCCTGCTTTCTGTGTACATTAAAAAACCAAAAAAGCTCTCACTGTTCCATTTGACATTGGCCTAACTCAGCTTGCTGTGAACCAGTTCCCAATAAAGGCTCAACTAGACCTTCCTGAATGAGCAACATTTATAACGTTTAATCCCCACAGGTTACTTTTGGGTTCCTCTATTTTTATTTAATTGAAAACTAATAACAGTATTTTGCCACTCATTCATGTGCTGCAGGCATATGTTGGCAGAAGTGTTGAAGGGACAGTCATAATTCAGACCCCCTTCGTGGTAAATTTGCAATAAGGTGCAAACTGATGTCTACTGAAGCAAACTGAGGAGTCAATCACCTGAAAACTGTACACTGCTAAACGTTGATGTCTCTGATTAGAAGTGGAGTTTAAATCAGAAGGAAATAACATCAGTTAACAGAAAAATTCATTCATTTTGGTCGATTTTGTCCCATTTAAATCACTATGAACTGAACATGTATGTCACACATTGCTTGCCAAAAATGCAGCGTCATCTTTTAAGGAATGTTGTGCTCTGACTGTGGTCAAATTGGTCAAAATAATTCATTGGAAGATGACAAATTTGAATTAAAAAATTAGAAAAAAACTGTCTCGTCTCATGGCTGTTTCCCATCTGATTTGCTTAGAAATGTTAAAACCGAGGTGAGCCCCCAAAAGTGAGTTACTCTGACTAAAGGCCTGTGCAGGGCCCACATTATTTCAAATTCAGATCTGATTTTGTTCTGGCTTCACATTCAGGAAAAAAAAAAAGCATTGTGACAGTAATGATGATTATTTACGTGTTGGAACGTTAAACATTCTTCAGTTTGCTCTCAACCTGACAACGACAACAAAAAGAATATAGGGCATTGTTCCCATATCCTGCGAGCCAGAATAACATCACACTCTGTTGCAATCCTCCTTTCCTCTCTCTCTCTCTTCCTCTTTCTCCCTCTTATCTGCCGGGGAAATGAAGCTCAATCACCTGCGGAGGAGCTGAGGGCGGCACAGGGGACTTTGCAATGCAAATGCCAGGTAATTACCCGAAAGCTAGAAGAGTGGAAGCACATAGATGAAAATAGAGCAGGCAGAGTGAGAACGTGAGGGAGAAGGCACAGTAGACAGAGATGAACCGAGTGCTAGGTTCACATGCCTGTTGATGCAGGAGGAATGGAGTGTAGTTGTGTGTCAGAAAGGATGTAGGAAGAGCCAAAACGGGGCGGGAGAGGTGAAGAAACCCTTGAGAATGGACAGGAACATCATACCCACACACACAATATCTCACACCGTGGGTTCCTCCTTGTTGTTGTGCGTCCATCTGTAAATGTGTATTCATTAAACAAATCAATAAATGTAACATTTTTCTCTCTCTGCTCCGCTGTATGTTGAGGATGGTGGAAAGATGTACTTTTAATTCAGAGGAACATCTGTGGTGAGAGAGTGCAGCAGGAGTGGATTTATTTGTGCCGAGTGCTTTTGTGCACATAGGCATCTGTGTATGTAAGAAGATGTGTGTGCACTCCTACGGGCACTTGTGTTTATGTGTGTGCATGTAGTGTGTACTTCATATGTTTGTGTGTTGCAGCAGATGATTTAGTGAGCGTGCCAGCTTGCAGCTGTTTGATTGTTAGTGAGTGAGAGCGAAGGTATGTGCAGATGTGAGAATCAAAGAGATTATGAAATGACCTGGAATTAAAGACTGCAGCGGATTTTAACTGGGTATCTCTCTGTGTTTTGCCCTCCGCTTGACTGGGACATGGTTGGGAAAAGGCGTCACATAACTGGTGTAGATGGAATAAAGCAGTTTTACTTGATATGCTTATCTGTAATTCAACACAGGTCTGAAGCGCTTGTTTGTTTGTGTGCATGTTTCTGAAGATATCACCCAGCAATAGTGTGACTCACAAGCAGTTTTGCACCTCGACTCAATAGATGCCTCTGATTAACATCCGTACAGAAGTGGAGCCAGCCGACCAGAAAACTGTTTTGGCGATTTAGAGTAATCGTGATTTTGCTAAAGTCTCACTCCGGCTAATTAGAATAATAAATCATGCCGCCTCGTTGTTTTCAAAGGACCCTCCATCGTCTCGCCAAAGCAGGTGGGATTGTGGGATGGTGTGAAAAAACAAAGAGTTTGATTGCTCTGCTGAAGCTACAGGCAGTTGAAAGCAAATGTGTCCCTCTCTGGGGATTTATATCCAAAAGTAAGCCGTATGAACTCACAGACCAGAGTGGCAAAAGCAAACTTTACAGATTTTGATTCATATGCTGACCCATGCTTGACTTCACTTGACATAAATCACTTGGCTCATTGGAAAATGGAGAGAAGAGATGGGGGCTTGTTTAAATTACTTAAAAGGCTGAGAGAAGAATGCATGGTGTTGCCTTCCCAGGATGGTTGATGTGCATTACGTGGAGGGTATGCACAGTATGGGTCACATTACAAAGTCTTACACCTGCTGGTCACAGCATTTGTCATCTCCGGTCCTTCATTGTCTTTCATAGCAGTAACTTTCATTATAGATATTGCCAAAAATGAGAAAAATATTCATTAAAAAGATATTAAACAACTATTTATAATGGTTCTTTTGTGGATAATTGTCTTGAATTATGTATTTTGACAATAAAATATCCAAACATTATTTAAACAATCAACAGCTTACATTTGATGGATTAAAAGAGCAAGCATCCAATTGCTGTATGTAGCAAAAATACAGCACCTGCGTGTTCATAAATAGTCCATGACACAACTACATTTTTGTCAGGTTTCTCTTGTCTGCTTAAAGAACTTTCCACACTGAAGGAGAAAGTGAGGCAGTCTGTGTCAAGCTGTCCTGTTCAGAGTCGATTAGACGCTGCTGTGATTTGATTTCTTTTTATTTGACATTGAGACTGTGCGCTGTATACTTGATGTGCCAGCGCTTCTCAAGAAATAGTCAGCTAATTAACAGTCCACTTTAGAGTCATGTGGCATATCTTTTTATTGTGAGTTTAATATTATTTGTGTCAGTGATGCAATAATTAAATTAAGTTTGTTCAGTGTTTTTTTTTTGTGTAGTGAATTAATAAACTTTTGTGCCTTAGTTTACATAAATCGGAGGAGTTCTCATCACTAGATAATAAAAGAGTTGTTAAGCCCTTACGCTCAGTGCGAAAAACAAGGTCCTCCTCAAGGCATCTGGTGACTTTTTGATGTAGTTGAATGTCTAAAAATTTGATCCTCTGAAACATTGAATCTACCATGAATTCTGCATCATCTAAAAATTTTAGACCAAACATAAGTTTCCTATGCCTTTGCATTGAAATACCCCCTTAACTACAGTTCATGTTTCAAAGAGAACCAAATGTGACATAAAAAGCTACCAATTTTCAAGTGCTATAACTTTTTTTTTTTTACGATTTTTACTTTGATATTTACTTTTTCACTTTATTTTAAGGAGAAAATATGTGTCCTAATACATTTAAAACATTTACTTCAAATGAATAATTTCTTTAGGACATAAATATTCAAAGTATAAATCAATACTAAATATTTAGCTAATTTCTGATTTTAAAAAATCCTTAAATGAGAAGGTATTGAAAACAACAAATAAACCTGTCTCAATTTGAAATAACTTTGTTTCATTTATGCTTTTCCTTTTATTTTTAGTTGGCATTTAGAATTTAATTGCATTGAACTCATCACTGGATGTCACGTACAGAGAATAGGTGGATGAAACGAGAGAAAGCGAGGGGTTATTTGAGTGCTGCTGCACAAAGCCAGTCCACTTCCTCTCCCCTTCTGGTTCTAGCCATGCTAAGAGTGGCTGGGCTAAGCTACTCTTGCCCTACATACAGCTTAAACAGCAGATTACTGACTGCCCCTCTAATCCCATGCACCAGGGTTTGTGCCACTGTCACCATGCACCAACCACCCAATCGCCCTGCAGCCACTGTCACACGCCGCTGCTGTTCACTTAGATGTGTGACACCCCACCCCCCTCTTCAATCCCCTGCTTCTGTTTTCGGTCAGTCATTTTGGATTTTCGCTTTAAATTCTATCTGAAAAACCTTGCTTCGAGCGGAGATACTAAAAACCTCATTCCCCTAGCCTCTCTCTTACATTCTCTTCCCTAGCAACACCCTGTCCCACCCTGATGCTCCCAGTACCCCCCCCCCCCCTCCCTTCCAGTTTTAACCTCCTCATGACCACCTGCCATGGGACAGCTTCCTTCAGTCCCTCAGCCTCACCTAAACCACCAGACCTGAGATTAGGGTTAATCTGGACCTTGTGTCATCCTATATCTATCCACCACCCCTACAGCCCCATTCTTTCCTCTCAACCTCCCTCCCTCCTCTTTACCAAAGAGGCTTTGGTTTAAAATCCTTTATTGTGAACCCCCACTCCCTTTGCAGTGTCTTTCTGCCTGCTGCCAACTGCAACTTTTCCTCCCGCACCATATCCTCAGCCAATCCCCGAATAGACAGCGGTAACCTGTCCCTTTAAGCTATGCCGGGTATAAGATGCAAGCAAAGGCTTTTTCCCATTGTCTTTCCACCCCAGAATAAATTTTGAATAAACCAAGAACGATCAAAATT